AATAAACTTTTAATGAACTTTAGTTCACCATTAACTCTCTGATGAACCAGATTCTACAAAAACATCTACATTTAAAATTTTATAGGTTTTCTTCATCATTTGATGTATTTGCTCTCATTGTGTCTACTTTTATTGTTCAATTTAGATATGTTTTTTTTTCTTGTTCAGATTTTTTATTTTTTTTTAGCTTTGCTTTAAAGTTCTTGTTTTGTGATTTGTTCATCTGTGGGTTAGAATAAAGTTGAACTAAAGGCCGTAGCTTTTCTTTAAACATATTTGAGGGAAATATTCCTGAGAGATCCAATAATTGTGTCTTTTTATGATTTTTCAGTTGAGTTAACGTTAACAAATTATTTAATAAAGTCATTAAATTGAAAACAGGATTTCATGATAAAAAGGCACCATTTATTTATTTTTAATCTTCACTGATAAAAGGAATACTTTTTTTTTAAATACATAAAATGTTTTAAAAATCGTTTCCACCATCCGTCCCAGACCCGTCCTGGTCCTGGTCTGTCGGGGTCGGCAGCACGGAAGATCTTCCGCGGTGACCAGCGGAGCTCGGAGCCAGGGAGATGACACCCTGCCCGGCTCCGGTGGGGAGGACCGAGGAGACCGGCGTAGCTCCATCTAGCTCACTCTGAATTTTGTCGTCGGCCACCTAGCACAAAAAAACACCTGCACGTCAGCATTAGACCACAGTGTTGTCATTATTGTTTTTAAAATCTTTAAAATAGGTCCAGCCGCTGCTCCAGGTTCAGAGAAATTACAAATGGCGGATCGGTGTAAGAAGTTTCTCAAACAGCCAGTGACTCCGCCCCCTGACCAATCAGTGACCGACAGTGTTCTGACATCACATTTTGGTACCTGTTCGGCCCGGCTGGTACCACAGAGTAAAGGGTTCTGAAAAAAGGGACTGGTTCTACGTACCGTTACTAATGGAAAAGCCTTGGAACCATGCTGAGTTGAGTCGAGCTGGACCGTTACTAATGGAAAAGGGGCAGAGGACCCACCCTCCAATAGGGACGTGTATTGAGCAGCTATGTAAGCGCCCGGGTGTGACGAGGCTAAATGTTTTGGCTGCATAAAGTTTGTTAACCTGTCCCCCACCAAAAAAAACAACAAATCCACAAATTAGCCGCAGCGTTGTATAAGCCGCGGTGTTCAACGCGTGTGAAAAAAGTAGCGGCTTATTGCCCGGAAATTATGGTACATGTGATACTGAATTTTTTAGATTGGGAAGAAAAACATGTAAAATTCAAATCAAACAAACGCAGTGAGATGTCGTTCTTGTCTTTCAGACGTCTTTGATCGAGAGTACAAGTTGGCGTACGACCGCCTGTCGCCGCACCTGGTGAAGCTGACCCGCAACTGTGACCGTCCTCCGAGCGCGGGCGTCATGGAGTGTCGCCGGACGTTTGGAGAGCCTTACCTGTAAAAACACTCACCTTGATTTCCCTTGAACCCATCTCAGGAAACTTGCTGAACGAGTGCGGCCGTGCTCCACGGGCAGGTTGGAGGAATCTGTCTGAGCTCACAGCCGACGGTCGCTTTAATGTAGCCGAACATTTCACAGACTTCATCTCATGAACATCCAGCTAAGTTTTGTGGAAACCCTGTGAAAATGATATAAACTGTAATTGCAAAGCATTGGAGGGTTTTTTAATGCAGCATTTATATTGTAATGAGACGAACATTAGCAATATTTTAACCTGAACTCTATTTATACAAAGTCAGCTTTATTTATCGCTTCGTCTTTTTCTTACATTTTTATTGTGTCCAAGTCAGAACTCACCACTCAAACCACCAAGATGTGGATAATCTGATAGTCCTCTGAGTTTCATCATTTTATCAAAGAACAGAAGAGTCAACAAACATCCAACTAGTTTTATAACAATTTAATGCCAAATTACAGGCTCAAGCTTCTCACATGTGAGAACTCAGTGTTTTTACTGCATCAGTGGTGATACATGTTGTTTTTAAGCTGCTTCCAGTACATAAAGTAAAATATTCTTTTAGCCTCTCTGCATCAAATTAACTAATAGAAAGTTTGCTAAATGCACACAAAAACAGGAAAAGTGTCACTTTCTCTTAATTCTTTGAGCTGATGACAGTTTTAGAATAATTAGGCTTTTATTAAAGTAAAGGCTGTGACACAGTAAATTTAGCAGAAAATATTGAGAAAAGTCAGTTCATTTGGTGTCATTTGTTCCTGAACGTGCAGTGAAGGCTGCTAATCGCCTTCAGATGAGGTTTGTCTGCGACTGCGTGGGCAAAGCACAGACAGTGTCATTTTTAGTTTCTTCAAATAATTTTTTTACTAGCTATATGAACAAAACTTTTTTTTATTGTACTGTTCACAAAGCAGACATCAGTGTTACTGTGAGGGAGGTGCTGAACTCCGTCTAAGGGTTGGGGTTTCTCAACGTGAGTAGCAGAGGATTGCACTCTCGTGGCTTGAATTTAGAGCACATTCAAAAAAAAAGTCACGTGTTGTCATGGACGTCTCAAACCCTTCTCCGTTTTTTTCCTCGCTTCTAGAGAGCTAGAGTCAGAGACACCAGAAGCCCCAGCTCTGAATGTTCAGCTTTGACAAACAAGCTGATGACGAACATGAATCATAAAGGTGGGGGCAGCTACCCAGGTGGGTACGACGTGGGCAGAGGTGTGCAACAGTGTGTCTAGTGTGGTCTAAAATACACAATGGTAAGTTGTGATTTTCAATAACGGGTCACACAAAATGCAGCTGCACTGTCCACCAGTTTCAAACACTCAAAATTTAGTGAGAAACTGTTAAAATATAAAATATATACAGTATGTTGTTTTTCTTCTTCTTTCGGCTGCTCCCTTCTTCAGGGGTCACCACAGTGAACTAACTTGAACCAAGACTTGATGATTGTTTTTACGCTGGATGTCCTTCCTGATGCAACCACAGACACCGAGCTACCACAGCCCCTCTGTGTGGAGCAGAGAGCTGTCGTCTAGGGCACCTGGGGGAGCAGACGGTGAGGGTTAAGGGCCTTGCTCAAGGGCTCAGAGTGGGGCAAGTGAGGGTGGAGGCAGATGTGGGTGTTTCACCTTTCCCACCCACATTTTGATGTTGTCGGTCCGGGGAGTTGAACCATTGACCTTCCAATCACAGGCCTCTCTTCTCCATCCTCTGCACCACCACTCCCCCCTGTTTCAGCAACAAGATAATGGAGACTAAAAGACCCAGCTTTTTGATTTTTTTAACAACTTATTATAAAAAAATATCAGAACATCCCAGGGATTAGACCATGCCCGGCAGCAGAATCTAGTCTGTTTAGTATATTTAGAGGTCAGCGTGGCTTAACGTTAAATTTCTGCTTCCTTCCAATGAGGACAGCCGAAAAGACCTCTTGTACTTTTCAGCAACAAAAATGTGCTTATTTTCTCCCAGTTGTGAGTCAGCACCTAGTCTCAGCCCAGTGAGATACTGGTTTAGGTTTCTGTCCCCCTCAAGGCACAAACACGACTTGACTGAGTGATTCTTTCCACCACTGGTTTGAATGTCTCCATGAATGTTTCTAAAAGTTGTGAATACCACGACTCGTGTCATTTTGTGTGATTCATTGATCTTGTTTTTGTTAATGATTGTACAAAACACACCAGGAACCTGGAACAACAAACCCTGTTTACTTACACCAACAAAACCACCTTCCAATAAGATTTGTTGGGGATTAATGGACAAATTAAAGCTGAACGTGAGGAAACATAAAACATTTTCTACAAATATAGTCATTTGGGATACAAACTGGAGATTTGTGACGTGTTTGCTTCATGTTCAGCCTTCATGAGATGAACTGGATCCCAGCTTTCATTACAGTCGAACTCAACTGGGAAAAGATGCCGATTTTATAAAATAATTTGACATCAGAGGATCAGGAGCAAAATGTTTTTCACATCTAACCAGAGGTTAGTGGGAAACAGTGCACCTCGAGATACGACACAGTTTAACAAGACTTAAAGTAAATCAAGAGAAAACTGCATTTTCTATTAAAAGAAACAAACTTTTTAATGTGATAAACTGGTAAAAATGTTCATACAAGTAAACAGAACCACTTCTTTCAGACTGTTGGATAAAGAACTTCACAGCAATGTGAATATTAAAACTAAACATGTTAAAATTTGTTTTTAAAGCACTTAAAACATGACATTTTAAATGTATAAACATGTTCTTGTTTTCTAACCGGGCTGAGTCCGTTCCTCTGGATGGATTGTTGAAATGTTTCGTCTTTTATCCAGAAGACTTCTTCAGTCTGAGTCCTTGTTTTAAAAACTTGTTTTCCTGTCTTCTGCTGGTTAGGTTCAGTCATTTCCCTTCTTACCGTTGAAATATCTCCACAGAAAGCAGGAGATCTTGTTTTAAAACCTAAAATGTCAGCGTTTGCTGTCAGAGTACTGATTGTTGCACTAAGCTTCTCTAAACTCTTAGTTGTGTTTGTATTAGACAGAAACACATTTTAATCTTCTTTATGACTGTCAGTGTTTCCTGACTTCCTAAAAGTTCTAGTGCTGTAAACTACGACTGACTTTTTAACTTGTTAACCAGTTTTTCTCACCAAAGATCCAAACATTCAGTGAATGTGTGTGAGCTCAGATCACAGTTTTAACCCAAGGCCAAAGTTTCCTCCACATTTGGTTGAAGCACTCAGTCAAAAATACATGAAGAGTTTTGTTTGAAATATTGTGTCTGTCATGACTTTGTATTATAATGATTTTAAGAACCCTAATGAGTTTATGTTGAAACAACCAAACAAACTGAATAAAACTTGATCAGTTATGTATTTCGTCTCGTGTACGGTACTGGTTTGCACAGGTTTGCATCCATTTTGAAGGAGGTGTACTGTCAGTGGATGGAAAACTGACTTTGTTTGAAGGACTTCTAAATTTAAGCCACAAGGGTTTCATGTAGCTCAAAGTTGGATTTGTTGCAGAAGAGACCAAAACATGAAAAGTGAGAGCTGCTTTTTGCAACTAAAAATGTATAAACTTTATTTAAAAACAGATGAGGACTGGGATTTCTCATTGGTGGATTTGTGTTGTGTTTAACATATTAGAAATGTTTGGGGCAATCATAGTCATGGTTGGTTTAACTTTCGTTGTAAAAAAAAATACAACTTTTTATTGCAGCTTCTTCACACTTTAACAAAAGTCTGTTTAGATGTGTGGAAGTTTGTGTACAGCAACCAGATCTGCAGGAGTGCAGCTGTAAATAAAATCATGCAACACTTTCATTACTGGACTCTTTTGCCTTTTTAAAGTGCATGAGTAAACATGATTTTCTTTAACAAAACTGAAGTGTGATTTTTGTTTGAGAAGTTTCAGTCACTGAAAAAAGTTTTTCCTTGCTTTTGTCTCATAAGTTAAACAAGGTTTGGATCTTGTCAACATATATTTTACAGAAATACTGTCCTGCTTTTTGTTTTGTTTTTTTGTGTTTTTTGGGGGGGGTGGTCAAATGTGGAGCCCTTATGGAAATCAGCCACTAAATGGTATATGGTAAATGGACTGTACTTATATAACGCCTTTCTATCTTATTTCAAGATACTCAAAGTGCTTTTACAACAATCTGTGCCTCATTTACCCATTCATACAGCACTATACTAGATCTCTACAAAGATAATTGAATGAATCATTCTAAAGAGACTAATCAGAGCTTTAGATCACATTCATACACTGATGGGACACACATCAGAGACAATGAGGGGTTCAGTGTCTTGCCCAGGGACACTTCGACATTTGACTGCTGGTGGATTTGAACCCCCAACTCTCGCATTGGAGGACGACTGCTCAAACCACTCAGCCACAGCCGCCCCAGGGAGCACAGGTCAGTGTATTTGTTGTGCTGGTCCCAAGTCCAGGAAAATGATGAGGGTTATGCCAGGAAATGCATCTGACATAAAACACTTTTACCAAAACAAACATGCAAGTCCATCCAAAGGACTATACCAGATCAGTCAAGGCCCGGGTTAAAGACGACTGTCACTGCTGCTGTTGACAAACAGCATGCCAGCGGAAATTGGGCAACTGATAGTCAAAGACCATGAGGAGGAAAACGTATCAGACGAAAGGGAAAAGAGAAATTCAAGACCGTATGTCTGAGAGTAGTAACCCTAAACATACAGACAATGAAAAACAAAGAGAGCTGGCTGACATGATGCAGAGGAGGAAGGTAGATGTTTTATGTGGCTCTGGATGGTAAGTACGAGCTTCCAGATAACGGCTACTATAGCAACAGTAATTATTAGAAGGACGGGAAGGAAGGTACTTGGTGTGTTGTCTGTGCAGACAATAGATGATAAGAAAACATGGTGAAGGAATAGTGAAGTGCAGAAAGCTATTCAGAGAAAGAGGTTAGCTCAAAAGAAATATAACACAGAAGAGAGGAACATAAATAGATGCATGTACGGCAAAGATAGCTAAAATGGTAAATGAACTGTACTTGTAAAGCTCCTTTCT